CCCATCCTTTCGGCGCCGGGCTTCCGGCTCCCGGCTCCGTGGTCCCGGACGCCGGGGCCCCGAGCCTGCGACGCCACCCTTCCAGCCCACCCCGCCCGGCCAGCGAGCCCGCGCCGCTGCCACCACTGCTTCACCTTTTAAATTTTCCGCCATCTTTCCCCACGGCTAACGACATTCGGGCCTAACCAGCCTCGCGAGAAGAGAGCTCGCGCGGGCGTGGCCGAGAACGCACAGCCTATTGGCCGCACCGCCCTGCGAGCAGCGCCCGCGCGGACCAACCGGCGAGCCGTGACCTGACCCCTCCCCGCCTCCGCGCTCGGTCCAGAAGACGGGTGCTCGCCAGCGCTTTCCCAGAGTGCGTCTGGGCGGCGGCGGCGGCAGCTGAGGTTGCCGGACGCCCTGCCGGGACGCCCGTCTGTCTGTCACGCTGTCAGCCAATCACGTTGTCAGCTGGCCTTACGGGGGATCAGACCCCCAATTACCCCCGTCAGTCAGTCCGTCGCCACGTTTTAACCCCAAGCAGGCCGTGACTCCAAAGGTGGACTGCCGCCACATACAGCTGCTCAGTCACTCGATTCAAATCAGACAATGGATCAGTCACCACGACGACTGTCTAGTCAGACCCCCGCCCCCCATTCACGCTGCCTGTCAGTCAATGGCAGCATCCATTCGTGCCCTCGGGCCAGCTGCGAGTCCCTCTAGGCAGACAAGTGGCGCTTACTAACAGCTACACTGCTAGTCAGCCAGTCTGTCATTCCCTTCGACTGTCCCTCCTTCACACTGTCAGTCAGTCAAGCAGCCGGTCTCTCCGTCTCTCTTGCCCTGGGACCAGCTCTGAATTCCCGGGGGGGGGGGGATCATCAGCAACCAGCCACGCCCTCAGGCAGGCTGTGATTAGGTCAGGACAGGCTGTCATTGTAAGCATCTAATGTAGCCCTGCCAGGCAGTCACACTATCCACTGTCAGTTGGTTACTTTGTAATTCGCGCAGGTTACTCTGTTCACACCATGATCAGACAGTTACTCCCTCAGAGCAAATAGTCACAGTAATTAAAGGTACGATTAAGCCTCAATGCCAGCTGTCACTGGGGCAGCAGTCTGTCACTTCTCAGGCGACGCATGCCCACCATTGGTCAGTTGGTCAGTATCCTCTGACCCTCTGAACCCCCTCAGGGCAGCTGTGATTCTAACCAGGTCCAGCCACGGAGTCAGGCAGCTATGCTGATCTTTCAGTTGGTCAGCCAGCCTGTGACTCTTTCAATCTGCCCCACTTTATATCGTCAGTCAGCTGGGTAGCCATTCTCAGCATCTGCCTGACCACACGGTCTGTCAAACATGCTGTGATTCGATCAGGGCGGACAGTCAGTCACCACATACAATTGCTTATCAGGCAGCCACACATCTGTCCATCAGTGAGCTTGAAATGCCCTCAGCGTAGCCCTCCTTAACACATCGCCAGGCAGTGTAACATCCAGACACTCCCTTGGGCCAGGTGTGAGTCCTAACAGTAGTCAGCCATTCACAACGTGAATGCCTGCCCAGGCAGGCAGCAACACAATGGGGCATCATCAGTCAGCCAGCCTGTCAGTCTCTCAGGAGGCTGCCTGTCTCTTCACTGTCAGACCACCAGCCCCAGCCAGTCCCTGTGGGCTGTAATTCGGTTAGATGTTCAGTACCTCACAGCATCAGGAAACCAAACTGTCAGTTCCTCAAACTGGCCCCTCCCTGTCAGTCCATGAGTTATGTAGTCAACTAAACGGTTATACAGTTAACTAAACAGTTGTTCTGTCTGCCTGCCAGTCCAGCTGTGAGCTGGATGGAGAAATGGCCGGTCAGTCCGAGGTTCCATAAGCCCCTGCTTGCCGTGAGTGGAATAGTCAACAGCATAAGTCCCACCATGGATTCCCTTCCCTCCCTTATTCCTTCTAGAACAGAGTCAGATCCTGGTCCTCACGTGCTCCCAGTCTCCTCAGGTGGGCAGGGCAGTCCCACTCCCAGGAGTCCTGGAGGCCTCTCCAACCCACAAGTGTGGTTTAAGGCATGACCTCTTCCTGCCTGAATCTGGAGGGGCGATATAGGGGTCTGTGGATGTTGGGGAGCATCCCTTGGCCCTCCCCAAACAGTATAGAGTAGTGGGTAAAGGCATGGATTCTGGAGCCCCACTACCCGGGTTCAAATCCCACCTCCAGCATTTACTAAATTGTGTGACCCGTTAGGCAGTTTCTTCATCTGAAAACCTCCCATGAGTGACCTTGGGGTGAGCATCTCTCACTCATCTGGAAAATGAATCTTTCTGGACTAGCACCTTTTCAGGAGACCTCAAAAGTAACAGGCCACCCTGTTCTTACTGTCTCCCACTCCCAGCCACTTGTCTGTTCGTTCAGCATTAATTTAGTGCCGACTGTGTATACTACCTTGCCCAGTGCTGGGGCCAATACAAGGTTTTATCCATTCCAAGCCACACAGGTTTGACCTGCTTTTAATGTAAAACTCATATTGGAGTGTGCCACACATACAGAAGAGTACACAGACCATGGGTGACCAATATACTGAGTTTTCACAAGCGAACACATGCGTGGAACCAGAACGCGGATTAAGGAACAACATCACCAGCCAGGGTTCCAGAAGCATTTAATTTTTTAACATCTCTGAAATCTGGCTGCATCTCACAAGCACCGGTGGGTCATAATTTAATCGGCCGTACTTTTGTGTCTTTCTTAGTGATGCATAAAATACTGGTGCATTTTATAATCAGTGGTGATTCAGGATCAGTGACATCCAGTAATAGCAATAACAACAACAGCAGCAGTGGCAGGTAATGTTTATAGATGCCTACAAGGAGCCGGGAATTTTGCAGACATCGTCTACTTTAATTCTCACCATCACCCAGTGAAGGAAGCGTTTTTAACTTCTCATTTTAAAGATTGAGGAAACTGAGGCCCAGAGAGGTCAAGCAACTTGCCCATAGTCAGTTCTTTTACCCTGGGTCTGTGCCTGCTCTAGCAGGTACTCCTGGGGAGCCAGAGGTTGTGTGATGTAAGGTCTTTTCCAGGACAAGTCCTGACAAAGGGGGCACGGATCACTGGATTTCTAGGGTTTCGTCAGGGCGGGGGGAGGGTGAGTGATGTGACAGGCCATTCCTAGACTTAGTGCTCGCCTGGGACCTGGCCTGGGTGGGGTGGGGAGTGGGGGCGGGTGAAGAATAATGAAAGAATTAAAGGGAACCTGATTCCCTCCTTCTCCAGCTTCCAGTTGCGGGGTAATTCTTAAGGGGCAGCGCCAGCTCCTACTCCCCACACCTCCGCCCTCGCTCATTTCATCCCACCCCTAGCCCCCCAACCTGCACCTCTGATGGTCCAGAAATTCTTCCACTGGTCTCACAGGTGGAAGAAGCCTGCTCTGTCTGCATTCCCCCTCACCTTTACCTTCCTCCCCTTTGCTCTCCTCCTCCTCTAAAGGTAAGACCCCTGAGATCTTGAATCTACCAGCTTTCAGAAATGGGAAGGGGTAGGCACCTCCATTCTAGGCTTTGATGTGCTAGAGTTTCTAATTACTCCCTTGGAAACAGCTTTAAACACCAGAGACAGTTTTAAGTTGCTCCTTTTTCTCTGGAGAGCAAGTCCTACAGGAGGAGGGGTGACCCAGTGGTATCCTAGTTGGAAATAAGTTACATATTGCTACCCATTGTATAGATGAGGAAACTGAGGCTCAGAGGGAGGCATCTTGCCCGGGTTCTAGAGCAGACCTATCTGATTATTAAGTCATTGACTCTTCTATTGCCATTGGCCAGGACTTGGTTTGCACTGGGAACTAGGCAGAACCAAATTTTAAAATTGAGAGGGGGATCCTGCCCATCAGGATGCCAGTGGATGAGCTGTTGTGTGCATGGAGAGTGGGGCAGTCTGACCATCAAGTACTCTCTTAATCTGGTATTGTGTTGATTGAACGGTTTAAAAAAAATAATTAAATAAGTGGATGAATAAATAACTCTCCCACTCATTCACCACACCCGGCCTCACACGAAGCTTTTTCCCACCTCAGGGCCTTTGCACTGGCTGTTCCTTCCACCTGGAATGCCCTTCCCCCAAATATTCAGCCAGTTGACTCCCTTCTCTTTAGGTCCAGCATAACTGTCACCTCTTCCAAGTGGCTTTCCCTGAATGCTCCATCAGAATGTTGTTTCCCCTCAGCACATCATAGTATATATCATGATCTATAACTATCTTTTGTTTCTGTTTGATTCCTTGTTTCTTGTCTGTCTCCTCCCCTAGAATGTCGGCCTCACGTGGGCAAGAATTTCTCTTGTTTTTTTTTTCCACTGCTTTATCCCCTGCCCCTAAAGTAGTACCTGGCAATAAGTGTTTGTGGAAATAAAGAAGGGCAGAAGGAAACAAAGAAATATAGGCTAAATGACCTAGGGCACAAATGAATGAATGAATGTATACATGTAAGACTAAATAAATGAAATGGGATAGATGAATAAAAGGGACTTTGGGGGAAAACACCCCAAATTCCGACCTTTGAAAAATAAATGAACTGAATTTAGAGAAACAAAAAGACAGTTATTTTATTTTTGTTTAAAAATCCTTGAGTGAGGAGAACTGAGCAATTTTGTATAAAAAGGGCCCCGGCTATTGCCAGGGCAAATGTGGGGGCCAGTAAGAGATAACAGCACTGAAAGGAATGGTGGGGAAGAAACGGGGTTTGGGGGCCTGGAAGCCGAGAGTGCAGGGCGGCGAGCGGCAGCTGCCAGAGGAGTGAGTGCAGAACCGGTGTCGGGGGTAGTGACTCAGTCATCCCATTCATCGTCCTCATCCTCATCGCCAGCCTGGTCCTCCCCTTCGTCTGGTGGGAGAGAGAGAGTGGAACTCAGGATGAATGGAACTCAGGGTCAAAAGCCCTGGGGAGGAGGTTTAACTAGGGCCGGAGAGGTCGGGACTCAGGACCCTGGGGGGCTGAGGTCTCCTGCTAGGAAATCAGACCTGGGGCCTGTGCGTTGGATGAGGAAGGGGCCCCCTCAGACGAGGGAGAGTTAGGGCTTCTGTTTGGGATAAGACAGGGATTATAGTCGGGGTCTGGGTTCTAGCTGGAGTCGAAGTTAAGATTATTGTCAAAAATGTGTGGTTAGTTGGGATATGATTGTCACACAAAGGGTTAATGTTAACAGGTTTGTCACTTAATGGGGTAAATTTAAATATTATTAGCAAAGGTGGAGTAAATTACCATATTATTGTTTCATAGTGGGTTAATGTTAATATTGTTGACACATAATGGGGTTAATGATAATATCATTGTCAAAAGATGAGGTTCGTTAAAATATTGTCATATAATGGATTCATGTTAATCTGTGGACACACTCTGGGGTTAATGTTAATATTACTGTCAAAGTTGGAGTTAATTCTATTATTGTCACATAATAGGTTGAGGTTAATATTATCCTCATATAATTGTCATATAATGACAGTATTGTTGACACATTAGGGGATTCATGTTCACATTATTGTAAAAAGATTGGGTTAGTTATAATGTTATCACACAATGAGTTACTGTTAATCTGATGACACATGGAGTTAGAGTTAATATTATTGTCAAAGATAGAGTTAACTATATTATTGTTACATAACGACAATGTTACCATTGTCAAAAAGGTGATGGATACAAGAGTCATGTTAATACTGTCAACAACAGATGGGGTTAATGTTACTAGTGATGGTGACCGTTGGGGTTGTTTTTAGGCCAACACTAGCCCTGGGAACCAAGGTCACTGTCCTGGCAGGATGGGCTCCGGAGAGGGTGGGCTCTCACCCGAGGAGTGGATGGCTCTGCTTCTCTTCTGCATCACATGCATCAGGGCCCCCACCAGCCCTTCCGAGCTCTGAGGTGGCGGCTGCAGTGCCGAGCTCTCTGGAGCCCCAGGGGTCTGTAACAAGCAGGGTCCAGTACAGAGGGCTCAGGGCCTGTGAGAGGAGCACTTCTCCCCGACCCTCTATCATTATTTCTCCTCCCACACACTCCAGTCCCCCTTCAAGTCTCCAAGCCCACCTCTCCCCACCAACCTCCCAACCCTATCACTGAACCCCAAAAGCTTGGGACCCCCATCAGTCTCGGCCCCGGCCCCCTAATATCCTGACTTGCACAGCACACACCAGAGTTCCAGACCCCCAATCCTCCATCCTGCCCCTGCTTACCTTGTTCAGCTGAATTCCCTGCCGGATTTGATCCAAAAGTGCCCCTCGACCCCCACCAGTGGCCAGGCCTGCCGAAGGCCCCAGAGCAGGAGGGGGTGGGGGAGGGACAGGCCCCTCCCCAGAGATGGGTGGTGGTGGTGGTGGCGGTGGTGGAGGCGGCACGGGTGGCCCCCCAGCTCCAGGGGGTGGAGGGGGCGGTGGTCCAGCACGTCCAGTGGCTGGAGGGGGTGGTGGCGGGGGGCCCCCTCGGCCCGGGGGTGGGGGTCCCCGGGGAGTTGGTGGGGGTGGAACACCTCCCATAGGTACAGAGGGCAGTGGACCAGAACGACCCTTGTTACTCTCCACAGTAGGGGGCCGGGGGGGCTGGTTCCCTCCTCGGGATGGTGGTGGGGGGGGTGGAAGCGGCTCTGAGGGGGGAAAATAACATATAGCTATTATTATAGTTTTCTTCAGAGCCCCAGCTTTGCTCATTTGTTAAACGGGTATCCCAGCTGACCAACTCCCAATTCAAGCAGTAGAGGGGTTTCCACGAGGACTGACTGACTGTGATGTATCTCTTAGAAATCAGCTACCAGGGCTGGAGATGAAGGGGGTGTCCAGACAGGGGGACTCACCCTGGCGCCTCATCTCCTGCCGCACAGCCTCCAGCCCGCCTTGGTCCTCAATGAAGTCATAGATAAGTTTGGAGGTCTCAGCGTCAGTGAGCTGGGCCTCACTGATTCCCGCCCTGGAGAACAGGCTCCGCAGATCCGGGTCCAGGTTGTTCACCTGCCCGGAGGAAAAAGGCAAGGGCAGGGGTGGGGGAATAATGTGGGGAGGGAAGGGGCACACATCATCATTGGGTCCATCCCAGAGAGGGATCTGAGAGGGGTGTGGGAAGGGTGGGGTCTGGGGGTAGGTCTGAGCAGGGGACTATGGAAGGGTGAGTGGGAGTTGAGTAGGGTCCAGGGCACTTTGCCGTTACTCACGTCAAATCCATTCTGGGGGTCCCACCCCACGTGGCTGACATGTCTGGGGGAGGTGAGGAGACTCCAGTGAAGCCCCACTGTCCTTCCTTCCCTCCCTTCCTAGTGAAGCGCTCTTGCCCTGCCTGCCCAGAGGGACACTGAGGGGCCATTAATGAATGAATCATAAGTGAATAAATTAGCGAATGAGTGAGAGCAGGAGTTATGGCATTCGAAGGAGCCCATGGTTTTTGGTACCCATCTATCCACCCATCTCTTTAACTACCGTCCATCCACCACTGATCTATCATATGTTTGTCTCTCTACTCATCTGCCTGCACACATCTGTTTACCCATTTGTCCACCAATCTATCCTCATACACACTTGTGCAGCCACCCACCCATCTACTCATGTGCCCACCTTTCCATCCATCTACTCATTTGTCTACCCACTCAACCATACACTTCCGACCATTTATCCATTGAACTGTCCATTCACCCACATATCTGGCCACCTGAACCAATCTATATATCCATCTGTCCACACACTCATCCACTCACCCATCCATCTACCCACTCACTTCCCATTTACCCATCTATGCATCCATCCAACCACCTATCCATTCATTCTCCAACCACCCATTCATTCATTCATCCATCTGTCCTTCTACCCACCCATCCACTCACCCACCAGTCCACTCAGGGTGGCACTAGGGTGAGGCAAGTGAGGTGCCTAGGGTGCAAAATTTAAGGAGGCACTCACTCTCGGAGTTGTGAATTACAGTTGAATGAGCCTGAGAGAGACCACCTCCATAAAGTTTGCGACCTTGGTGCCTCACTTGCCTCTCCCCTAGTCCCAGCCCTGCACCTATCCACCCATCCATCTGCCCATCCTTCCACTCAGCTCTCCTCCTGTCCACATGTTCATCTATTCCCCACTCCCAGGGATCTGTGGGCTCACTAGGGAGAGGTTCTCACTTGAATCCACTGGGTGCACCAATATCAGCCTTGCTGATCTTCTTCTTTCCTGAGCGTTTCTTATCAGCTGGGCCAGGCCCAGGTGCCGGGAGCCCACGGTATCGTGAACTCGTGATGTCTGGGTTCTGGATGTCCACTGCCACCAGTCCCAGGGACAGCGGGCCAGCTTGTGGGCCTGTGGGGAAAATAGAGTGACTGGACCATTGACCCACTTACCTATCAACCAAAGCATATGGACAAGAGACAAGAAGACTGTTGGGGGAACTGATGTGTTTGATGGTCATGGAGGAAGTGGGTGAGGGGTCCAAGTAAGGTTTATTGAGAAGTGAGTGAGTCCTGCAAACCATTCATATATTCACTGATTCATTACTCATGCTTATCACTTAAGTATTGACTCATTCATTCACTCATTGACTAATTAGTAAATTACTCAATCATTCACTCATTCATTCAATCACTGCTTTTTCACTGACTGAAATTTTGTCACTTATTCATTTATTCATTGTTCAATTCATTCAATCACTCACTCACTCATTCACTAATTTACTCAATCATCCATCCATCTATTCATCCATTTATCCACGCACCCATTCACTTATACATCTATACATCCACTTATACATCTATCTATATTTTCATCCTCCCATCAAGTTATCCCCTGATTCGACCCTCTATCCACCAGCAATCCATCCATATTTTTATCCTCCCGTCAATTCATCCTCCCATTCAACCACTGATCCACCACCAGTCCATCCACCCACACATCCGTTCACCCATTCATCCATCCATCCTCCCATACAGCTACATCCACGCACCTGCTCATCCACCCACATACCCTTCTATCTACCCATTCATCCACCCACTCACTCATCTACCCACCCATTCACCCACTTATCTCTGCACCCACCCACCTACTCATCCATCTACCCACTCCCCACCTATCCATCCATCCACTCCCCCACCCACCCATCCACCAAGAGACACAGAGAAGAATCAGCACTCACCCCCTTGGTCTCCACCTGGGTATGAGGGCAGCGGTGGGAGCCCTCCTCTCCTCTCTGGGAAGATGGAATGGGTAGAGAGCTATCACAACCCTGCCACAGGTTCCTGGGCTAGCCTCTTGTTACCCCTACTTGCACTAGAGGACTCACCTTCATTGGCTGGTGCTGGTGGTGGGGGTAGCTGGCGCCTGTCTGTGGAGAGACAGGTGGACTGGGAACCAGAACCATGAGAAGGGCTTTTCCAGCTCCCCACTCTTGCACTCACCTCTGCCCACCTCCTTTCCTCCCCCAAGGCCTCCTCACCTCCACTTTGCCTCTGATTCCTTTTTTGTATCTTCTCCTGCACCAGAGCCCGGAAGGCCTGGGCCTCGCCCTCGTCTGCAAAGTTCAGCCCTGCTTGGCAGTCCTGTACACGCCTTGGTGTCAGCAGACTTCCAGGCCCCCCACACCTTTCCCATCTCCTCCCCACACCCCAACTCTGGCCCAGGGGTTGGATGGTCACTTACATCTCCAGCAAAGGTGTGGAAGAAGGGAGTGGGAGTAGAATAGACTAGCTGTGAGTACAGCTCCTGTTCCCAGAGCAGCCGGCCAGCCTGGAGAGGTACAGGGTGGGGAACACAGTGGCACTGAGGTGTGCCCTGGGTGGCAGGCCTCAGTTATCTGGGCAGGGAGCATAGTGTCCAGATTTGGGGCCCCAGGATCTGATTCGGAGATTTCCATCTCAGCATCGGAGAGTTGGGGGTCTAGGTGTCAGATGTGGAGGGTTGGGGTACAATATGGGAGTCAGATACTGCAGTAAGAGATTTGTATTTGCAGTTCAGGGCCCTAGATGTGGGACTTTGGAGCTTGAATTTGAGGATTTTGGACTCCAGTCCTAGGAAACGGAGCCCATTCATAGACTCCCTTCATTTGGGCAGGTAGGGCTCCAGTATTGGGAGTTGGAGTTGAGATTTGGGGGTTCAGACATGTAGATTTGGGTGTTGGGGGGGCAGGGTTCAGCCAAGTTATGTACAATTGAGGTTTGTGGAGCAGAGTTACAGCTTAGGAGTTTGGTCAATATTTGATGGCCCTGGGATCTTGATGTGGTTATGCTGGGTCCATCTTTATGGGTTTACAAGGATGAATTTGGGGGTTAGGCCTGGCGAGTTCAGGTTGGGGGTTTGTAGAACAGATTTTTGTCTTAGGAACTGCTTCAGTATTTGAGTGTTCAGGAGTTTTAATACGGGAATTCTGGGGTCCATGCTGTGGGTTTAAAAGGACAGATTTGGAGTTCAAGACAATGGCATATTTAGGTTTAGGGTTTATGATTTATGACTTAGGAGCTACGCAAACATCTAGGGGTCAGGAGTTTTGATGGAAGATTTCTGGGAACCAAAATGTTGAGTTTAGAACAAATTTGAGGTTCAGGTAAAAATATAGTGCTCATGTTTTTGGAGTTTGTGGAACAGATTCGATTTAGGAGGTATACTAATATCTGGGGGTTTATAGATCTTGACATGGAGACTCTGGGGTCAGTCATCACAGACTTAGAAAGGCAAGCCAGAGTTTGACATCTGAATGAAGTCTTTGGTTCTGGGGCTCAGGGGTTCACTGATCTGTCCGAGGGTTCAGGGCTATGGACACAGATCTGGGTTTGTGGGTTCAAAGCTGGTTTGCATGTCCAGTGGAGAGCAGGGGTCACCTGAAGGCCATAAAGGCGGATGAAGTAGGACTTCTGGGGGTTATCTTTCACGAAGCACACAGCCCCACAATGCTTCTTGGTCCAGTGCTTGGCTCCAGGGGGCAGCGCCAGGTACAGCTGAACAACCGCGGTGGCCAGTGTCTGGGAGAGGAGAGCAGGGCTCAGAGGAGTCTGGTCAGGGGCAGCCAGAGGGTCTGGGAGCCAGACCTGGTTCTTCCTTGCCCGTGGCTGTCATGGCCCTGAAGGAAGAGCCGCAGCCAGAGGGAAAGTGAGTAGACATTGAGATCTTCCTGGGACTGGTGAACGGGGGTAAGTGAATTCTAGGAGAGATGATGGAGAGGAGAAGGATGGGGAAGATGAGCAGAGAGGAAGGGGAGGAAAGGAGAGAGGGAGAGGATGGGGAAGAGGAGGAGAGGAAAAGGAGGAAAGGAAGGGAGACAGGGAAGGCCAGGAGATCCCCAGCTCACCCAGCATTTCCGTCCGAGCATCTCGAAGAGTCGCTGGTTCTCATGGTCCTGGAGGAGGGTGGAGGGTTTGTTCTGCTGAACCCCAGCTCCTCCGCGGCCCCCAGGCCTGCCTCCTACAGGGCCCCCACTCATGGTGCCTCCTGCCCTTGTCCTCTCCGGCCAGCCACTGGGTGCAGGGTAAGAAGAGGAACTTCCGCAGTGAGCAGGGGAACAGGAAGTGCAAAAAAGCCACAAGGGAAACAAGTCCTCCAGGGGCCCCTCGGTGGGCCTGGTCTTCTCCTCCCTAGGACAGGCTCAGACCCTCCTCCCTCAGACTGGGGCCCTCCTCCATTTGACTGGTTAGACCCATCTTTTGGACCCGCTCACGTCCTCCTGCTTCTTTCTTACTCTCTGAGGCCCATCTCCCTCTGACTGGCTCAGACTCTCCTCCCTCTGATTGGCTGACAGCAAGATCTAGGCCACTGCAGCACTTCTACATGGGAGCAGGCATGGAACTGGGCGGCCTCCTTCTTCCCCAAAGCATCCAGTTAGTCTGTCCCGAGGTTCAGGGTCCCTAGTGCTGAAAGGTTACTGCGTTAAAGCTTTTCCTTTAATGACATAGCGAGTACCTGGGGTCCCACCCCTCTCCTGAGACCCAGACAACAGACAACGTGCAAGCTCTCGGCTCACCTCCCATCCCTTACCTCTGCCTCCTGCAACTCCCAAATTACTTTCTGCTTATCATCCCTTTTTGAGAAAGGAATTTTATAGCATATATGAATGCCTAAATAACATTTTGTTTATTTTTCATGGCTTTTGAACTTCTAAAAGTATGTAATCTTCGGAGACTTGCTTTTTCCCCACTCACCGTTCTATTTTTATCTACCAAACATTCATGTACCACTGACCGTGTGGTGCAGGCACTGTTCTGACCTCTTTGTATAATACTGACATTTCAATCCTCGTCACAGCCCATGGCACGCGCACTATTGCTGGGTCCATTTGACACAGGGAAATGAGGGAACCAAGGCACAGATCGGTTAAATAATTTTCCCAGTAGCTCCCAGCTAGCAAGTGGTAGAGCTTGGATTGCATACCAGGCAGGCTGGGTCCAGCCAGAGAGCACGCTTTTCATGACTATGCTCCACGCCGTCTCTCTGTCTGTTACTAAGATTCGTATTTGCCTGTAGCATTAGCTGTTCATTTTCACTGCTACATAGTATTCTATTGTGTGGCTGTACAATTTGTTTATTCATATTTTCCTGTTAACAGACACTTGAGCTGTGTCTTGCTGCTCTGTTGGCTCCTGTGCACATCTCCTGGTCTGCAGGGGCATGCATACTCTCAGGAGGGTAATCCGGAGTTGTGGGGTTTGCACATCTCCAACTTCACTAGTTAATGCCAGACTGTTTCCCCAAGTGAATGCTAGCTCAGTCCTCACTCCTTCCTGGCCTCAGTTTCCCGTTTGGGGACGTGAAGCTTTCAGGCATACATACAGCAGTTCAGGGGAACTGAGCAGTCTGGGGTGTGACTCACATTCCTGGGTACCTGACAAGAAACAGGACATCTCAAGGTGGGACCCACAGTCCTGCCTGGAAACCTACATGGCTCCTACACCCGCAGGTTCAAAGCTTCTCTCCTAGGCCTGGGCTCAAAGCCCCTTCTGATGTGGCAATTCCAACCTCCCTCCCTCTTCTCTCCCCTCACAACTCAGCTCATGGCGCCCTAACTCACCAGGCAATTTCATACCTCCAGGCCTGGAGCGCCTTCCAGCCTGGTCATTAGGGCAAGCCCCTACTTCTCCTTAAAAGGCCACTGCCTTCATTCATGTAACACTGCTCACTGAGCTCTCGCTGTGGGCCAAGCACATCTCCAGTATGTGGCACAAACTAGATGCTCAATAAATGTTTATCGAAGGAATGAATGAGGGATTCACATCTAATTTGATGCAGTGTTTTCTGAGCTTTTTCTAAGTGCCTTACATCTATGAACTCATTTCACATTCACAAACGACCTAATGAGATAAGCACTACTGTTATCCCCATTTTACTGATTGGGAAGCTGAGGCCCAGAGAAGCTTAGCTAACTTGCCCGAGATCACACAGTTTGTGAGTGGTAGAGCTGAGGCCAATTCCGTGAGAAATCGTTCCTAAACTGTTAAGTGCCCCATGGGGGCCGAGATACAATTCTTCTGCTCCCTCTCTATGTCTTTTGTCCTCCACCTTCCTATTCCTTCTTCCTCTGCCCCTAGATCTGTCCTCTTTAAGTCTACATCAGGGACCTTAAAACTCTGCTACATTGGCTGGTTGTTTTTTAAATTAACATTTAAAAGTTGTATATTTCCTGTTCTTACTTCCAAGTAGCAGATACGTTTAAAATTTCTATTTTTCTCTAAATAAAAAACCTGAAGTAGATTTTCGTGATTTTAGTCCGTAATAGAATGAGTTTCCTCACCCCGGAATATAGTGATTTATTAATCTTTTTTTTTTTTTTTTGTGAGGAAGATCAGCCCTGAGCCAACATCTGTGCTAATCCTCCTCTTTTTGCTGAGGAAGACCGGCTCTGAGCTAACATCTATTGCCAATCCTCCTCCCTTTTCTTTTTTCCCCAAAGCCCCAGTAGATAGTTGTATGTCATAGTTGCACATCCTTCTAGTTGCTGTATGTGGGACGCGGCCTCAGCATGGCCGGAGAAGCAGTGTGTCAGTGCGCGCCTGGGACCCGAACCCCGGGCTGCCAGTAGCGGAGAGCGTGCACTTAACCGCTAAGCCACGGAGCCGGCCCTTATTAATCATTTTAATATCATGTTTCACATTATTCAGATTATTGAATCACTGTGTTGATCTGCATTAATAATTTGGAGCTCATTTACTTTACTTCTATGTGTTCCCATCAACTCTTGCTCTTCTGCACTGGAAGACAGTATTTGGTGAGGTGATGACCTCAAAGGTAATTTGCTCTCCTGCGCCTTCAAATAGATTTAAAAACAAGACCAAAAATCTTTTTTTTTTTTTTTAAGATTTTATTTCTTTTATTTTTTTCCCCCAAAGCCCCAGTAGATAGTTGTATGTCACAGCTGCACATCCTTCCAGCCGCTGTATGCGGGACGCGGCCTCAGCATGGCTGGACAAGCAGTGTGTCGGTACGCGCCCGGGATCCGAGCCCGGGCCGCCAGCAGCAGAGCACGCACACCTAACCGCTAAGCCACGGGGCCGGCCCAAGACCAAAGATCTTAATCCAGCTTTTCTGATTGTTCTCAGCAGGAGAGTGGGTCGAATACCATCAGTCCATCATGGCTGGGAGAAGAAGTTCTGACTTACTTCTCAGTAATCCACAGAACCCCCAAGAACCAGGATATGCCCAATAACTTACACCCACCTCATGCTCCTCCATCACTTCCCCCTGCCAACTCCCCAGGGGTCACCAGATGGAGAACCATTTCTTGTTTATATCTTGTGCTTATTTGCTTTATTTCTAGAGGATATTGCCTACAAATCTCGGTCGCCATGCCTAGAGCCCTGAGTAGGTAATAAGACACGAGGGTGTCTTCCACATTCCTGTCACCACCACGTGACTGAGTCCACGGAGGGGACATAGGCATGGGTAGGGTCCTACTTCTGTCCTCTAAGACCAAACTGAGGCCAAGATGGCAACCTATTTCCATCACCACACCATCCTTCTCCTCCCCTTACCTTCCTGCCCCTCACGGTCCTCCATACCCCTGACTGAGGGGCACTTCCTGGGGACAGGCCCGACTTAAGGAAACAACAAATCCCAACCCTCTGACCCAATGCTCCCTTTTAATAAGAAACATTTTGGGAGGGCTCCTTTCACCATCCTGGAATGACATTTGTGTACTTTAGAAGTCTCGGTAGTGTGGGGCTGTTCCCCAGCATCTCAGGTCCTACCCACTCAATGCCCCCCATCATTGTGACAACCAAAGTCTACCTACCAGGAATTCCCAAAACACTCCCCCAGGGCAGACAGGAACAGGACCTTTGTCTGTCTTGTTCATTGCCGTGTCCCCACCACCCTACCAGGACCCTGCAGGCAGAAGCTCAATCAGTATTTGTTGAATAATCCTTGTACAGTCTAGATATCTCTGCTGTGATTTACTGTCCTCTTCCCACAAGGCTCCCCTTTCCTCTCTTCATCCTCCTGCCTGGGGAAAAGGGGGAAGAAAAACAACTCAGAGTGTGCAGGGCCCAGCTCCTCCCACAGAGGTGTCTACACTGTTCACTGATGCTCCGGGCAAATGGATGCTTTAGGGGATCTCAGGAGAGGGGCTGATTTCTAGTCCTGGCAGAGGTGGAGTGAGGACAGGGTGTGCACAGAAAAGCAGAGACACCTGGAGAGATAAGAATGGCTCAGTGGTTAGAACCACAGATTCTGAAGCCCTACAGCCTGGCTCTGGTTTCTGGCTCTGGCACTTACTAGCTGTTTAGGGTCTCATAACCTCTCAGTGCCTCTGTTCTCTCATCCATAGAGGTAATAATAGCAGTTAAGGTTGTTGTGAAGACTAAATAAGATAATTCATGTAAAGTGATTAGGACAGAGCTCAACACATTATAATTATGCATTATTGTTGTTATTGTTTTTATGAAATAGCTGAGTAACTTGAATAAATGAATTATCATCCCTTCAGCCTAGCATTCTCCCTACCCCGCCCCAATCCTCTCCTCACCCACCTCCCTCAGACTTTTAGGTCCCACCACCATTGGTGGATGGTCAGAGACCCAGAACACATGATCCCCTTCCCATTGCACTTTCTCTACTTTCTCCTGCTGCAAAGCCCATCTCAGAGATCCATTCTGTGGCCCAGCCAGACTCCTCCAGAGTCGTAACATGTTCCTGGAGCCCTGGCTGCCAACCTCGGAGGTCCCACCCCCCACGTTTCCCGCCCTACTCCCCCGACCTGTACAAGAAAACACTGTGCCAGCCAGCCCTCTCTCCTCCTGGGTTTCTGGCTGCTAACCTCGGACCAGCCGGGGAGCCAAAGGTCCCTTCCTAGTCCCTATACTGCCCACACCCTCAAAGTCACCACCAACTCTCCTTAGATGGGTGCTCCCTACCTCCCTCCACTGCAATCGATGTAACCCCAATTGTCCATTCCCCAGTCTGTGACACCAAAAGTGTCCACACACAAATGTGTGACCCTGGGGGTGTCCACTCCCCAATGTGTGTGACCCCATGTGTGTCCAAACCCCTGTGTCACTCTGAGATCGTCCACTTTCCGGTCTGTTTTCCCCAACGGCTGCCCACTGTATGAGCCCA